ACAAGTAAAGCAGAGGACCATGGCCATGCAGACATGGTTTATTTCAAGAAGGACTTTCCTCTGCAAATAGGTTTCTTTTTTCCTCTCGCTCAGGCTGGTTTCGAACTCCTGACCTGGAGCAATCCGCCAGCCTCGGCCTCCCAGAGTGCTAGGACTACAGGCGTGAGCCACCGCGCCTGGCTTATCCAGATACTTTTAACCTGTCAAAGAATTCCTTGTCCCTCCCAGTGCTCATCAGCTGAAGACTCAGTCTGTATTCTGATAGTATTATATACAAATAACTGATAAACTGCTAATCAAGACATGTCAAAGAAAGATCCTCATGGTGGCTATTAAGCACGTCCTGGTTGAAATTATTCCATTGGTTATAATAAAGAGTAAAAAAAAGACTCTGTTTGAACCAGTCACTTAACCATTAATAGTTAGCTGCACTGTTATGCAGCCCACACTTCTCAAGGATGTCATGAGACTTTGTTAAATGTTTTGTGGAACACCAAATACAGTGTGTTCTTTTGATCTTACTCTCAAGATTTCCTTATCATTTTTTTTTCTGAGTGATTCTGTGCTGGCTTTTAGAGATGGCTGCTTCATTTCCAAGTGCTTACAAACCACTCAAGTGGATACTATACTTTTCTAAAATTTTGCTCAGGATTGATAAGCCCAGTGGTCTACAGTCTATAGAATCCCCACCCCATCACCACGCCTTTTGAGTCATGTGCCTGCCTGATTTTCCTATACCATCTGCCCCTTAGGTTGGTTGTGCCTAAAGCATAGCCCAACCTCATGTAAGCACACATACATCTAGTTCCTACTGAGGTCCTGGAATGTGTGGTACACTTCCCAGAGGCTGTGGGCATCGGAATGAACATGTTCCCTGATTGGTGGGAGTGGGCAGTGGGTTGGTAGCCAGGGCAGATGGGATGTAGGGCACCACTTCTTACAGACATAGAAAAAGGCTGAACTATCAAGCCAAGAGAAGGTGGTCCCTAAAAGAGTCAATCCTAACACAAAACAGACCTAAAAGTCAAGGCGTTCCTACAGAAGCCAAACTGCCAAGTCCAAAAAAAAGAGTGTACTCAGAAAGCAGAACAAACACAAACAAGTGGGAACATCAGGGAAATCATAAGGAGCTGAGCTAAATGAAAAGGTTGGCAGACAATAACTCCTGAGTCAGCTCCACCTTGTTTGCATTCAATTCTTGGAGTGATGGGGGAGGACCTGTCTGCCAGAAAGGAATGGATGGTGGCAATTAAAAAGTAAGATTCATTCAGTCCCATTAAAATTCTTGACATTGTCAGCATAAAATGGAGAACTTTGTTGGCATTAATAACCACAGATATTTATTTAGGTTAGTAATACCTATGTGCCTTCTATATGCCAGGCACTGTTCTAAATGCTTTTACACATTAATCCTCACAATAGTACTATTGCTAAGTAGTACTATTATTGTTCCTATTTTCCGGATGAAGAAACTGAGGCTTGGTAACTTGCATAAATTCACACAACTGATGGAAGTGAGATTTGAACTAGGCAAGTATGACCCCAGAATGCACACTCATAACCTCTACTCATCACAACCCAATAGACTGAAAGGGAGACTCCTTTAAACAAAATAATTACTATGCTTCTTTGTCCAAGAGAAGGTTTGAAACAGCAAATATAGAAATGAGACATAGGTCCTTTATGCTTCTTAGTTGGTACCTTATCATCAGCCTAAACTACGAAATCCAAGGGTGGAAGAGTTGGGAGAATTCAGCAGGAGGATCAGAAGAGTAGTTTTTCCCATTTTTCCAGAGTCAAACCTTTATGATGTAACTTTATCATTTTTAGTGTTCAGTGTTACAAATTCCCAGAATAGTTAACAAGAATAATAACATAAATCCAAAGTTAATGTAAAAAAAATTCAAGGTAAAATGGTTAACTGTAAAATGGATAACTTTGGGTTATCTGCGTTCATACTCCCATTTATTCTAACAAATTTTAACTGTTTAGCCAAATATGTGCATTTTTGTTTTGATAACAAGTTCTCATTTTTCCATCTTGTCGCTATTTGTGGCTGTCTATGTCTTTTCATCTTCTTCATAATAAGAGGACTTTATAGTTCTATCTGCAAATGTGTTCATCTAATAAGAGCACAATGCCAACAATTTGTTTTAAAGAGACACTGTCTAAAATTTTGCCACATAAAAACAGTCTTTACTTTTACTTTGAAAGGAAAGTTTATTAATTCCCAATATTCTTTACATTGTCATTTGGAGATATCATTCCAGACACAAATGGATACATTACATCTTTGAAGCAGAAAGATATTAATTAATTAAAATAGTTTACATTTACCTTAGCATTGGGTGTGGCTGGCTAATTTCAAAGGATCAAAAATTGCACCTATTTGGGCCAACTGGGTCCTTGATAATTATCAGGATAAAAGTATTTCACACCTCATACATTTTGCTTTATCACACATTTACTTTCTACACAATGTTCAACTTCACATTTAAAAGGCAAATTAGCTTTTAATTCTCTAATGAATATAATAGTCTACTTTTGATTGAAAAGTTTCAAATGAAATATGAAACTATATTTTTCCCATAACTATTTAGCCAAATAAAGGTTACCAATAAGAGCTTAACAAGTTTACAAAAGTATTATTTCCTTTGTTCTGTTCAAAACAATACAGGTACACATAAGGGCACACATTACAGGCATCTGAACTGGTAAAAGGTTACAGATTAGTCGCATGCAAGTATTTTACATTTTTTAATGCAATGAAAAATGCTGCTTATTCATTTTCCTTCAATAGATGAAACAGAATTAAAATAAAGGCTTAATTAAAATAATTATTTCATGTGTATAAGGTTTTATTTTTTGAAACCAAAGTGGCAGAGATAAGAATTTTAGGTCAGGATAACTTCTTTCTTAACTAAAGATTGTCACTGGCAACATCTGGTACTAAAATAAAATTTCCTCAAAAAGTACAGTTTCTATCCATCTCATTTCACCACACGGCCAATTCCTATCTGCCCATATTTTAGATTATCCATAGGGAGTTTTAAATCCTGGGCCAGCTTCTCTCAATTGTACAATACACTTCTGATTCTCTGTTACCCAGTCAACATGTGCTCAGAAACAAACACACAGAAATCTTAAATAAAAGGCTATGAAAAACATGCTATTTACTGTGCTTAGTTTCCTTCTTTGTATTCCCTCCTCTCTTTCCCTACTGATTCAGAGGAGAAAAATATATTTTAGAATATCCTCTCAGAAAGAGCTACTATCCACAACTATTCTGCAGACAGTAGAAACTGCTGTAGAAGAACAAATAACTGTCTGTGGAATATTCAGATCTCTTCCTCTGAACAGAGCCCGCTGGAGAGAAACGGAGCTGCAGGGAGGTGTCACTTGCCACGTCCAGAGGCAATGGAAATGACTTAGAATCACAGGCTCCTGAAGTTTTGGAGTGGGAAGGGACCTCAGGGAACATCTAAGCCATTCACTTCATTTTACAGATGAAACGAAGACAAGATAGATGAAGAGTTTTGCCCAAAGTCACAGACAGCTGGCATCCAAATCAGTATTGTTTCCCCCAAATAGTACATGATGGCAAAGAGAAAGCATAACTCTTATGGGGCTAGAGGACAACATTTATTAAGCACCTACTATGTACAAGGCACCATACTAGATGGCATTAAAGATACAAAGACTGATGAAGCTTGCCTCCAAGTGCTTATGAGTCCTGTGAGGCTGTATTTCAATACCTTTCATAGCAGAGATAATACTGACCAGGGCCAAGGTTGCTGGTGATAACAAGGCAGCTGCTGCCCTGGAGAACTGATCTCACAACAGGTGGTACTTTCTCCCCATTCAGAGCTAGTGAATGTTCCACAGCTGCTAGCTAGGCAGGAAAATTCCAGCACTGACAGGAGGGCAGTAGTGCCTCAGACCCTCCTCTCAATTCTTCCTGTTTGCTTTCCCTGTGTGTCCGGCCTTAGGCCATCTGCAAGCATTCTGACCATTTCCCAAGGTACCATCACAGTGACCCAAGAAAATGCCCCACCATACACATCACTGGTATCTAACACCCACTGCCCCCCCACCATCAACCATCTCTTCCACCTCTATGTGGACAGTGAAATAATTCCAGTCCTCTACAACCCACCCACGCCTCGATTTCCCATACTCCAAAAGATGTAGAAGATGTCATTGTTGGTCAGAATAAAACAAATACAAGAGGCAGTGAAAACAGTGAATTGTTAATAAAAATGATCTCCCACTTTTGATAGCACTTTCCAGTTTATGTAGTATGTTCATCCAATTATGTGATTATATTCTCACCACAACTCTGTGAGGTAGTTAGTGAAGATATTCCCATTTTATAGTTACAGAACCTTAGGCTTGAGAGACCAAGTGGCTTGCCCAAAGTTACCCAGCTAAGAAAGCATGGAGCCAAGTGGCCAAGTTTCTTGACTCCAAATCCAGTGCTCTTCCCCCTAAAGAGTCTATAATTGGTAGGCAATTGAATGAATTGCCCATGATCGTATACCTGCTAAGTGTTGGTGATGGGATTAGGATTCGGTCTCCAAATCTGTTAGTATGGTGCCCTTTCACCATACCAACTGGTTGAGCCAATGTGCTCAGAATAACTGCCATGGAAGATATCAGAGAAAAGTCTGGTAGGTTAATTACTCTTTTCTATTTCTATGTTTGCAGCTCTCTCCCTCTTCCTCCCCAAAGTCAACAACGTATCCCAACTGGCATAATCTCTGGTACATGTGCTGTTCCTGTATTCAGAGTCAGGTCACAAATTTAAAACTGGCAACTCCTCCTCCATCTAGCAATTATTCAGCCATTGCTGTTACAGGCATATGGGAAGGAGGTAAGCTCAGCCGAGCTGAGTTCTGCCATGAAACAAATTTAAACCTTTAATTTCCATCCTCCTTCTCCACCTCAGTCAGCCCCTGCACTTTACTAAACTCCTGAACACAAAGTAAAGCCCAATCTGATCTAGAGTTGGGGAGCAAGAAAACAGTGAATATATCCTTCAGTTTCTGGGCACTTTTCTCCGGCCAGTGTTTCAGGAGGCCTGATTGTGTGATTTTCACACAGTAGGATCAGCTCGACGCTTCCAAGTACTTCCTCACCCTTCCTTTGTGTGGGTCTCAGTCCTTTGTCTTTGAGGATGGGGGGAGTAGAAGGGATATTGGAAGTGAGGAGCAATAAAGGGAGGTAAAGGGAATTTGCTAATAGAAGGCAGAGCTAGGACATCTCCTCTTATTTCTCTGCTCATTAAAATGAAAACAGCTATTATGGCATCATTAGTGGAAGAAGGGAAGGAAGCTTCAGGATCATGATTTAAAACCTGACTCCAGAAACAGTTCTACCTAGTACATACCACCACAGAACCCAGGGTTCTCAACTTCCCATTTTTTGCTGATGCTATAAATATTTGAACTAAAGATGGCATCTTCTTTGCAAAAAGGCACTCAATCTCCTCTCCAAACCCAGAAACACATACATGATTATATTAATCTAGAATTCTTATACTTCTCTGTCTCCTTCCCAGTGCCTAGGAGAGGACCGCGTGCATCATATCCATGAAAAGAGAAATATCTGCAAACGCTTTTGTAGATTCCCAAGGGCTATCTTAAATTTAAAGCATGCTGATGCTCAACACTGGTTTTAAGGGTTTTCAGTTTGAGTATCTGAAATGTTCTCTTGGCAGTTACTCAAAGGACACTGGTTTCCCTATCGCTGGTGGCCTGTCAGGGGCCGTGTTGCCATTGGAAGAGAGGCAGCTGTTCTTTGGGGCTGGTGTGCCAGTCTTCTCTTAGGGAAATTGCTTAGAGGAGTACAGGCACTGGGATGATATCTGAGTTTTTAAATGGAGATGGGCTTTTACTGTAAGATGAGCTGTGTGCCCTTCCAGGCTAGTGATTATCTAACCTGGGCCTGCAACAACTTGGACAAGGGCAAGGGAAGCCGGGCTGGGAGAGAACGCCTCCTTTCAATCAGTTGTCCAGATGTAGACAAATACCTCATTATAGTATTTGTTGATCTTTATGAACAAAATATTTATATACAATGTGCCCTACAAAGATGGAAGGAAGGGGCTTAGTCATGTTGATGAAGATACAGTGTTATACGTTTTAGGCAGATGGACAGATTTGGTGCTGGAACAATTAAATGATTTCTAGGCTTCTAATATTTATTCCCTTAGAGTCGTCCTCCACACAGCTATGAAATGTGGTGGCTGGTGATGTAAACTGTAAACTCCAGGGAGTAATCTCATACTTAACCTGGGCCTGCAGCAACTCTTAAAAAGGACAAGGGAAGTGGGGCTGGGGAGAGAACATCTCCCTTCAATCAGTTGTCCAGATGTAGCCAAATACCCAGTTAGATATTTGACAACACACACACACACACACACACACACACACACACACACACACACACACACACACACTTATTTACATTATGCTCTCCAAAGATGAAAGAAAGTAAGGGATTTAATGATGCTGATGAGGATGATACTTGAGGCAGATGGGGAGATGTAGTGCTGGCCTAATCGCATGATTTCTAGACTTCTAAAATTTATCTCCTAAAAGTCATCTTCCACATATGCTGTGATAGGTGTTGATGGTATGAGTTCGCAGGTCCAGGTGAGTGATTTTACACTCCACGTGGACATGCACAACTCTAAAAGGGGAAGGAAAATGACCCTGAGGAGGGGTTGTCTCCCTTCAATCAATTGTGCAGACATTGCCAAATATCTCAACATATCTGGCTAAACACAGACATATATAAATATTTTATATACATTATGCCCCATCATTGCGCCCATGATCATGAAGGAGCTACCAGTTAAACACTTTGGGCAGACATGAGATGAAGCCCTAGACTAATTAAATGATTGCTAGACTCCCCAAAATGTATGTTTATCTTCTAATAGTTATCTTCAACATATGAATAGTCACAGAAATGTCATCTGTTAAGCTACCTTAAAAACACAGGTAATAATAAAACTGATTAGTAATAAACATTTGATTTCACAGACTAGCACACATGATTCAACTGTTTTACAAGCTAAAAATAGTGCTGCATTCTCGATAATGTCCCATTTTCTTGCTTTAATACTATCCACCACTGCTTATACAGAAGAAACAACCATGATCAAATTCTGATTTTTTTTTTTTGCTTTCTGCTAGGGTTTGTCAACAACTGCTTTACCCCCACCCCCACCTCCCGCCCCAGTCCACAGAACTTTGGATGTGCAGGGAACACTCTTGCAAGATTTCTTAAGGGTGAAGGCAAAAAAGAGAGTAAATGAGAAAAGAAAGGAAAAAGGCTTACATAGACAGGCAGGTCAGAGAATCAGCGCTTAAATGAGTTTGTAACAAATCCAAAGAGGAGAGAAGACACCTAAGAGAAATGTTCTTTCCTTTGGCAACATGGTGACCAAAACATACGTATATGAAAAAAAGGATTTTATAATTTCGCCCAGTGGTGTGCTGATAAATGTCTGTCAGCCAGCAATCTAGAGGGGGTTAAATCCCCAATTTCTAACATACTGCTAATTTCTGGGGCATAAAAACTCCCACCATGGCCAATTTCAAGCTACTAACAAGAAGTTAATGAACACGGGGCTGGGAAGAGATGTGCAGTAGCACACTATTAGGCGTGTTTCCATCATACATAACACAATAGATGTAAATAATCTCAACAGCATCGAAGACAGTAAAATGTAGTATTTTTGAGTGTAGCATTTATTACTTATGTCCTTAATATAATTAACTGTAAGTACATATCATTAAAAAAATTTTTTTTTAGACACAGTTTCTTGCTATGTTGCCCAGGCTGGTTTTAAACTCTTGGGTTCAAATGATCCTCCTGCCTCAGCCCCTTGAGTAGCTGGGATTACAGGTGCAGATGATGACCTGGACACATGCCCAGCTCCATTTAATTTTTAATAATGGCTGTGTTGAGCAACCAGTTTGCAAAAATTCTTGAAAAATCTGATAATCGGCAAGCCTATACAAGTCGGCTCCAACACCCCCCACACATAAATGGGTGAGAGGAAAGGAGAAATCAGACTGAAAACTATCCTATTTTACTATGCTTTTTAGATAGATAAGGAGATGTAGTAATAAACTAAAGGATTTTTAGAGTTCCAGCAGTGTCAAAAGGTTCTGCTTAAAAAGGTGTCCTCAGAAGTGTAAAAAAATTCCCAAGAAAATGAGATGTTTCAAAGGACTTTAGAGACACAGATATGGGTACTTATAATACAGGTAAATGTCCTGTATACATTTTGGGGAGCTTAGAAATCATTTAATTAGCGTAGGGCTTCATCTCCACATCTGCCCAAAGTGTTTAAGTGGTAGCTCCTTCCATGATCAGGGGTGTAATGAATCCCTTACTATCCATTGTGATGGGGTATAATTTTATAAGGGCTATCCTAAAACAGATTCCACATGCTTTACAAGCTAAATGGAATAATATAATCATTATTTTCCCATTAACTTGTTTTTTTGCTACCAAACAACTCAGGAACATCCAGTTGCTGAACAAATTCTGGATTGGGCCCACCTTCTGCCTGGGTCAGCAATCTCTTTAGCTCCAGCTGTTACCAATACCAGGGATGTCTCCATTATAAGGCTCAGAATTACAGAGAATAGAAGGAACAAAAAAAGAGTTGTAAGGAAGGGAGGGGAGAAGGAAAGAGAAGAGGGAGAGATGCCTTAGGCAGTGTCAGAGTACCACCAATTACAGCCTTGGGCATTGACAGTTATCAAAGACTGGTGAGCTTGAGCCAAAGGCTGTAGTCACCTGTTTCCTTAGTTTAGCATTGAACTGTTGCACTGCTACATTAAAAGATGAATGCATACAACAATGCAATCATCTTAGTTGTACTTTTCACAGGCTTTGTCTTTGAGATGAAAAGCATCTGGATAAGTGATAATTCAAATTTTTTCCTGATGTTTGCATACGTCTGGATGGATCATGCCATGCAGACAAACATCTGTATAATTAAACTGAGTGGTCATATTTCATCCTGTGATCTTGTTACATGAAAGGTAAAGCAATAAATGCTTCTAAAATTTGCCAAACTAATGCAATCATTTGTATCAACAACCTTGATTAAGGTGCAATGATTATTCTTTTTTTAGGAATGTACTCTTACTAAAAATTTAAAAATTTCCTATCACATCTGAAAAACTTAAAAACTGCTTTGTAAATACTTATCCATTGGAATCATGTTAAAGATTCGATCTATGTTGAATAGTTAGTAAAGGTCGGTGTGCTCATTTATTTTGCCACCTGTGAGTCTGGATTGAAGCTGTATTAGTGGGTCAATATTATAAGTATTTCATACTTGTTTGCTAATGCTGTGTCAAAGTGTCATAATGCTGTCTTGCTTTAATGAAGATGACATTACTGATCTTCAATCAGTGGAGCATGTGCATTTAGTGATTTTTTTTCTAGAATTAAGGGAGAATTTGTGCTAAGTTGGTCACATTTTCTCACCCAGTGAAAGATTGGCAATATTAACTTCTTGTGTGGTCAGAACACTTCTGATGTATTTAGCCTAACTCAAAGCTATGCATGTAAACAGAGATAGGCCTCTACCATAATCACAGTTACAAACACATATTATTATACACTAAATTCCTTTCAGTAATTAAAAAAACATGTTTATGTAAGAAAGCAAGAAAACCCAATATGAAAGTGGTTAAAATCATTTTCGACTGTTGTCATTCTCTAAGATCCCCATCAGTCCATATATCAAGTTGCCAGAGATACCCACGGGCAAATAAAATTATATATATTAAAAAAAATCCAAGATAAATAAGTAGTGCTAAAAAATAACAACAATTAAATTATTAGTTGTGTGGTGAACGGAAATGAACAACCTTTGATAATATGGTCCCCACGAAGAAGGAAAAGAGTTTTTGTTTGCTTGTTTTTAAACGGCCGCAACGTGGCGAAACCTCGTTTCCTCTTGAGGAAGTTTACCTTCGGTCTCCTTCAACTCTCTTCTTACGAACTAGGTAAGAAAGAAGGGAAGGTTTAAAAAGATAAATTGAAGGAATATTCCTTAAGTTCTAGATAAGTGACAGTAATCACACAAAATAGCAATCTCCCACACTTGAGGATACAGTTAGCTTAAATTCCAATATTCAACCGTGACAACAAACAGAAATGGTAAAATCCAGTGTCTGGTGGAGTTTACAATGCAATATAGATATGTTTGATAGTTAGGTGCTCGCATGTTAGAACTTTCCCATTTCTATGGAGTAGAAAGCCCAGAACAGAGCCAAGAAACAGCGCACTCCTAAATATTCATGGTCATTTACCCACAGCACATCATCTTTGCAACTTCTGTGCAACTCAGTCCCCAACTGGCTTTAACTAACTCCTCAGATTAACACAATCATAACTACGAATTCTTATTATGGGTTGAAAACCAGGAGGAGTTGCAAATAGAAGTTCAAAGTTTCTAAACATCTTCTAAACAAAAACTCCTAAGTATCAACCTTCAAGGAAGGTGTGATTCAGAGAGCAAGCAAATTCAGAGATAAGTTTCCCTTAAACTGGTACTTAGGATCACAGAAATTGCCCAGACTCCCTGTTTCTGTTTTTACAACCCTGTTCTTCCCCCTTTCACCTCTCAAACACAGGCTCTTCTGGTTGCTAGGAAGAAAGCTACTTAAACCTTCCTGGACTTGGCAAAAAGGTGCCCTGGTTGTGGTCTTGCCCTAACTCTTCACTTTAAAAAGCCCAACCTGCTCCTGCCTAGGATGTGGGAAATTAGACAAAAACTGTCATCCATAGTTGCCACTTCTTGGGCTCAGGATCCCGCCTCTCCATTTCCTTCAAACCTCCTGTTTGGCCTGTTTTTATTTGGTCTCTGTGTTGTTCAGTCATGGACCCAGTACGCTTTTCCTAGGAGCCTTCCACTGCTGCTTCCACCCTGCCCCAAAGCCCTAGTTGCTGGGCTGCCCCTTGGCCTCACCCTGTGAACCCCACAGGTAAGCAACGCGTATGCCCAGCCAGCCTCTTTTTGTTTATTTGAGACAAAGTCTCGCTTTGTTGCCCAGGCTAGAGTGAGTGCCGTGGCATCAGCCTAGCTTACAGCAACCTCAAACTCCTGGGCTCAAGCAATCCTGCTGCCTCAGCCTCCCAAGTGGCTGGGACTACAGGCATGACCCACCATGCCCGGCTAATTTTTTCTATATATATTAGTTGGCCAATTAATTTCTTTCTATTTATAGTAGAGACGGGGTCTCGCTCTTGCTCAGGCTGGTTTCGAACTCCTGACCTGGAGCAATCTGCCTGCCTTGGCTTTCCAGAGTGAGCCACCCAGCCCGGCCCCCAGCCAGCCTCTTGATGCCATACACTGCACTTTGGTTGGGCCTCGAGGTCTTGGCTAAGCATGTCTGGCCAGGGAATTGGACATTAACCTTCCCATTGTCTCTTCTAGTTCTAACCCTTAGCTTCTACCTTGCCTGCTGTCTGAATCCTCCTCATGGCCAGCACTGTACCTGGTGGAACACCTTGCTCAGTTCCCCTATCCAAGGTCTGGCATTCGGTCCCTGAACCTCAAACTAGAGCTGAAACCTGCTGTTGTCTAACTGACTGCTTGCCAAATGGACTGTCAGCTCCTAAATGTCCTTTTGCCACGCTGCTCCAGGTGGCTGGGATTTCCCCAGACCAAGCTTTCCCAATCTGTTCCATCTTTCTGTGCCACGATCGACCAGGACATGCCCCACCTCATCCTAACAAAGAAATGCCAGGGGTCCTCTGCAAAACGTGGCAACAGGAAAAATTAAAGAGGGCTAACTAAAAAACCTACTACTTCTAAGTTTACCCTTCATAATGTCTATTATGCCATTAGTCTATTTCACCCATAAAGTACCAAACTATCAGACATACCCATATTTACATCAGTACCAAAGCGGTCAGAAGTCAAACCCAAGTAAACTGGGAATTTCCATGTCCCTGGTGCAGATAACACAGGGTGATTACATGTAATAAGTAAAGCAAAAGCAAATACACAAAAGCAATCAAGCAAAAATCAAAGGCTGTGCAGAAAAAAAGAACAAACAGTTCTTTTTGAGAAAATGTTATGATACAACTTAAGCACTGTGAGAACCATGAGTACTGTTATGACCATATGATAATGTGCCTTTCATAAAGGACTAAGTGACACCAAAGGCCAGTGGAATGCTATCTGTGAGACACTGTATCTCAAGCGGAGAAGAGAAAGCTCGTCATGCTCTTCTGTTAACAGCATATATTATGGCTGCATTACCCAGGTCATTGTTCTTTGTGATGGCAGCTGCCACCCTTGTTCGTGGCCCTTGCTTGGTAAACTGATATCCGAACTTGAGGATTCTTGAATTCTCCTCCAGCATCTGAGCAATTTCCATCTCTACAGCTGTTCCCAACTGCTGCCTCTGGTTGCAGTGCAGACACACACACAGGATGACAAAAAGGAAGAGGGACAGTTACTTGCACAAGAAAGATACATGGCTACTTGTTGGAAAAAAAGGCCAAGAAGCAAAAGTTTCAAATAAAAAAAGGGTCAGCGTCACTTCAGATGTTTTCTCCCATACAGTCATTTGAGTCCTGCTCCTCGTCTAGAAGCAAAATCCAGCCATCAGTTGAATCTGCTGGTGTCCCACGCAGAAGAAACTAAGCAAGTCATTTATGAAGGAAAGGATAATTCCAAAGGTAAAATTAAAGCAAAACTAGTATTTGGTGTTTCCAATTCACCCATATCTGTGGTTAAAAACAAAAGGTATTTTTAGTAAAACTGTTTTATAGCAGCCAACCCAATTACTAAATTATTAATTCTAGGACCCATACTAAATTATTAATTCTAGGACCCATAATTACAAAAGTAATTAAAGATCATCAACCCATGGGCCATTCTCTCAGCAGTAAATTGCATTAGGAGACCCCAAACAGGTTTTCTTGTGGTTTGAACCATGCCCATGGTCAGATGAATTTTCAAACACTGAAGGGAGTTATTGAGCTATAGAAAAATCCCTAACTTATTCGTATTGGTTTAAGTTGAGACATAGAATGATGAAAAAATAAAAGATGGAATTTGTTGTTTTTCTTTTTAAATGGGGGCATGTAAGCATAGAAATTTAAAATTTAAGGAACATAGTATATATTTTTTCACAATATAGTCATTACTTTTTTAAATAATAAAAAGTACAGGCTTGTTTTAAAAAAGCAAATAAAAAAGTATATAAAATATAAAAGTCACCTTCCTCCAACATTCCCATTCCTCATACAGAAAGCTAGTTTGGCATGTACTATGTAGCCTTCTAAGCATTTTCTATGCATTTATACATCTACACAATCACAGGTACATCTATGTTTTCATGTAAATGGATTTTACTAGTATATTATTTTGAAACATGTTTTTATTTTTTATTTGACATTAAGATATCTTTTCATGTTGGTAAATATACATTTACCTCATCTTTACAAAAAGCTGCGTGGCATTCCATTGTGAAGGATCATTATTTATTTAGCCAGGTCCTAGTGACTGTTACATTACTTGTCATTTCCACTATTCCAAACAATGCTGCAGTGAACTTCTCTTGCACACACAGTGTATCTTGGGGGCATTTCTGCAAGTGTGCCCGTAGGGCAAACTATAGCTGGGTCAAAGGGTAAGCATGTTTCAAGTTTTGATATACTACCGACTTATCCTCAAAGGTTATGACAATTTTTATACCTGCTAACTGTGTATGAGTGTTATTGTTTTCCTTCTCCTAGGCAAATGAAATATTATCAATCTTTTTAATGTCTGTCAATCCCTTTGGTGAAAATGTATATTTTACTTGTATTTATTTAATTGCTTTAATATGCATTTTTGAAATTATGAATAAGAAAAATTAATTTTCTTATGTATTTATAATTCTTTTGAAAATACCAATCCATGCCATTTGCCCATTTTTCTATCAGGTTACAGTTCCTGTTTTTTTTGATTAATTGGTAAGTTTCTTATATATTAGGAAATTAGCCCTTTGTCAGATGTTCTGAAAATACTTTGCTTAATTTGTCTTTTGACTTTCTTTTTGATTACTGTAAGGATTTTTTTCAACTTTCATGTAGTCAAATTTATTCATCTCCTACATTGTATGTCATGTTTAGGAAGCCTCTCAATTGCTCCTGATTTCTTCCATTTGTTTTATGATTTCATATATTTTAATATTTAAATCTTCATTTCATCTGCAATGAATTTTTGCATTAGAATAAAGATACCCAATTTAATTTTGTTCCAAAATGCTAGCATATTATCCTACTATCTTTTATTTTACTCTTCCCTGATCTGAAACACTGACACATCATGGCAAAATTCTTCGGTATACTCAGGTTTGTTTCTGGAATCCACTCATGTTCTGCCAGTCTATTTTGTACCAGTACCATGCAATTCTGATTATTGTGAAATACATTAAAAATATATACCTTTTAAATTTGGAAAACCTAAGTATGGAATGGATGAAGGACAAAAGTTTATGGAGGAACTTTTGTGTCCCAGGTAAGTTTTAAGGCTTAACTCTTTGCCCCTCTTTCTTGTCATCCAGCAACCTGTTAAACAAGTCTCTCCCTAAGAACTTAACACAAGGTGATATTTCCAGTTAGGCAATAACAATATGGGCATTCACATTGTAGAGATGAGTGCTCTAAGCAATGTGGGTCTATGGGAGGGAGTGGCAGCTAAACAAAGTAAGAGGTGCTGACCTCAAAGTTTCATGAGGAACTTTAGCAAATGATACACACTTTAGAATAGTGGGACTGTATCAAGGAGGCGATCTGAGCTAGAGGTGGGGCTGCCACAACTATGGCTTGTGCCCCTAGAGTGGGCCAAAGTGGTACATTTGAGTCCTGACTTGGGTAACCTGCAACGAATGTTAATGCAATGGTCAAAAGTTACCCCATCACCTATATTCCCAAGTATCTGAGTCCCTTCTCTCCAAGTAGCTGGCTATTTTCTCAGTAGTTTAAATTTTTGTTGGCACCCTCAGTGTTACTTTGTTTTGCAACAAAAGGCAAATCCATACTTATTCCTCCTTGTTTTGGATGTTCTATTTATACAGATGTCAGCTGTTATTTCTTTGGGGGTTTTCTCTATTTTGTACTGAATCTTTGATGACATTTTGGCAAAGTAGTAAAATAGAAACACAACTTCCCCTTTTATAATATTAACTGCATGATTAATATGTATAATTAATTGCATAATTATAATTCATATAATCTGATATAGAAAAATAGGAAATATGAATAATAGAATAGTAGCTTTTATTTTTGTTTTTTAGGGGGGAATAGGAGTATGCTAATAGCTATCTAAAGGATTTAGAAGCTGAAAACAATTATATTGTGGGGGGAGGAAGCATTGTAACATAGGGCATGTTTCTTTCTCAGCCTGTTTTGTTTTTTTTTTTTTTTTAATGATCTCTCATATTTCCACTTACTGGGTCTTTTCTTTTTTTCATTTGAGGTCTTTTGTGTTACATAAACCCAGGACAACCAATAGCATCAAAATTTCTTATAATTTGCCTATATCCTCGTTTTATATTTTAAGTCACTAAATACAAAAAAAGATAAACAAATAGTTAAGCATATGTGTCTTCAAATCACTTTCTGGTTTTTTCTAAGTGACCTCTTTTATCGACTCACATTCACTTAGCAGTTACCCATCTGTTTCTTCAATATGCATCACCGATTGTTCTTCTCATTGGGTGCATCTGATTAAATCATTACATATTGAGCTGGAGCCGGGCCACAGCGGCCCACCCCCGCATGCATTCTCCCCGCCTTCACTGTGGTGCACCTGCCTGCTGCAATGCTGCTGAATTGGCCTCAGCTCCAGGGCCTGCCTGGGGAAACTGTCTTAGAGATTATCTCATTCCTAACCCTTGACTAGACAGATGAGAAAACTGAGGTTACTTTTATTTTTTTATTTTATTTATTTTATTTTTTCTTCTTTTTCCTTTTTTTCTTTTTCTTTTTTTTTCTTTCTTTTTTTTTTAATGAAAACTGGTTGAGGCTGAACTGAGGTTACTTTTAACAGTCCATGAGTCAAAGAACAAAATGTAGATGTAATACAAGTTTTGACTCTGAATTTCCTCATTCTTCGAGTAAAGCAAATAATTTTTTCCAGTTCCTCTAGAAAATCTTAATCCTCCTCCTTGTCACACACAAGTGAAGAGAAGCCATTTCAGAAGCATAACAGAGGACTAACATAGAAAAATTACACAAATCTGTATTCCCAGGTGACCGAGGAGGGGTGTGATGAGGTTGATTTAGAGGGGATGTCAGAGAGCAAGTTCTTTGTATTTCAGGGTCTTCTTCACGTGCATTATAAAAAGCTGCTCTATTCTAAATGTTTGGGATTCCAGCTCATTCACTAGGTGTAGGGTTGCTAGATTTAGCAAATAAAAATACAGAACACTCACTTAAAGTTTGACTTTCGGATAAATCACAAATAATTTTGTCGTATAGTATAAGGATTCCCAAATATTTCATGACACATACTAACAATTATACTTTGTTTATCTGAAAGTCAAATTTAACTGTGTTTTTTGCAGCAACCTTGGCTAGGTGGTAACTTGTAAGGAACTAGGAACAGAGTATCTGTGACTTATTTCAGATATGGGGTTTCACAATGGCCTAAACCAACATAAAAAGTTAAATACACTTTAGAACAAAGTATCCGCTTCTGTCTTAGATCCCTTGGAAATATTTACTAAAAGCTCTCTTAACTTCTTCTATTAACTAGTCTATTCAACAAAGATCCCTGTCACTTCTTTTCACTCACTCCCTATTTCTCTCTAGCTAATTTCTCTGCCTCTGTACTCCCTGACACCACTTTCTTCATTCACTGGCAGCTGGACACACACCAGGACACACAGCATCGAGCTTCCCCTGAGTGTGTGCGGCCACGTGTGGCACATCCCCTGGGTGTGCCCTCCGTCCCTCTGCACCTGGGAAAGCTGCTTTGGTGGTGCACCCCTTCTGGCAGGGTGAGAATGAAGCAGCTGCTGTCTCCTTGAGGGTTTTCCCTGCTCCTCTGGCAACAAGTCTCAGGAGGTCAGAGCCAGAGCACCTGCACTGAGAGACCCTGCTTGTCCTGGTTAGTGAAGATGGAGAGCAAGGGCCTCCATGAAACTGTGGGGGTCTCTAGGCTTAGGCAATAGTCCTGGGTGGCACTCTGGGGCTTTGTCAGATCTTGGAAGGTCTGGGGCAGGGAATTTCTCAGACATGGCCCCCAGACATCTAAAGGGTGTTCTGAGCACCCTTCCCCTTCTCCCACTGGCCCTCCCACCTCCCAAAGGGAAATGCTCACACCACAAGTCTCTTTGCTTTCTCTTCTTCCAGGTCCATGCCAGACCCTTTTCTTTTCAAGATATAGTGTCTGAACGTTCAGGTTCACTGGAACCCCATTGTAGACTCTTCCCTGTAGGCAACGGAGCCGTGCACAGCATCAGGGCTGATAGCTGCGAGTTGTGGGCGGGAGCCAGCTGAGGCCAGCAGAGCAGCTCCGAAGGCACTGCAGGCCAATGCTCGGGGGTGGGGGGGTCTCCAAGGTACAGGCAGGAGCAGCTATACGGAAAAGCAGCTCGCTTTGGCTGTAGGTGGGAACCTGAGAAATGCTGTGGCAGAAATGAGATCTTGATCACACTGTGGGTGTGGCCTGCTACTCCGGCCCAGTCCATCCTCTAGAACTCTGATTCCTTTAAACAGGCTCTCTGGAGCCAGGGCCAGATTGCAGGAGCCTGGGTCTGCTCTTTTGTCTCTGGCAGCCTGCAGCCCAAGACAAAAAACCTGAGTCTCTGGCTGTGGTCACCTTGCGTTCTCCTTCTAGCCACTGTCCCAGTAAATGCCAAAAGCCAGTCTAAGATGGACTGGGCTGAGAGTCAAGCTAAAAGGCAATGTTGATGGTTGAACAAAGCAGCTGTTAACACTTCTGATGCCTGCCTAGCCTAGGGCTGAGGGGATGCAGGCTCTTGTTTCTCAGGCTGCCCAGGGAGCATTGTTTAGTTAGTAACATGCACACTCTCTATGGGCCAGAAACTGTTACAACTTACAGGAAAGCCAGGACACCAAATCAAGCCACACACAGAACTCTGTCTTTTAACTCACTCCTGGTGGCACTATCCCCTCACTGTGTACCCTGTGAGCTAGCAGTGCCTGCCCTTCCTTACCTGGTTGTCGATCTTGATCTCTGTCAAGGTGTCATTTTCTTTCAGTGCCTCTACCAGGGCCAGGATCCCAGTTCCCGTGATGAAATTGGATTCTATGTTTAGACTTTTCAAGGTCTTATTTACTTTCAGCATATCTGCAAAAGCCTTATTATACAAAAAGAAATAACCATTAGCTTTCTAAAGATTTCATTAGCTTTCTAAAAATTCATTTACTAAACTCCTCACCTCCAAATTAAATACAAATATTTTTTATAGCACTTAAAGGAAACCTTAGTCAAATCATACTTTCACCTCTAAGTGACAAAGATGATAATTTAAAACTGCAGTAAAAGTAGTTTAGTCCAGTAGTCCACACTTACAAATTTCACATACTTGCAAAAGATTTTGTTAAAAAAAGATACTGACATATGATTACCAACTGTTTTTTGTTAAGAATATTAAAAAAAAAAGCCTACTACCATCTGTTGTTTTTTTTTTTTTTTTGAGAAAAGACATTTTATCATTAGGAAAAAAGCAGTAAGGACATAATGTCTGAATTACCTTATTTTTTTCACCTTTTACCATATATGAATGCATTAAAAAAAACTTTACCACTGGCTAGCACTTGGGCGGTACTGATTCAATTATGTTATTTCAGAGCCTCTATAAATCAGAATTCCTTAAAGACAACTTTTGTAACAAAATCACCACTTAGAGGGGCAAATCCACTGGAGACTCCAGTTTGAGACAGCACCTGTACACGTTACACTTGCCTGCTCCTCTTCTCTCCCAGAGCTTCCCACCCCCATAAAGAAAGACTGGTGGAGAAATCAGCACAGAGAAAGTTGTTGCCTGAGATGCCAGAGGTAGGTCCCGTTTGGGGCATTTCATTGAAGAACTGCCTTAGGCAGAGATGAAACAGCTAGAGTAGGCGGAGGGTACCCCAACCCTTCCAGCACCTTCCTGGAAAAGAGAAGCTGCCAGCATGACTATCTGTGACAAGTCTCCTAGGAAGAGCCTAGTGAGGGTGCTGTGGCCTGAGAGAGAAGCAGTGCGGAAACGGGGACACCCCCAGACCTTGCACCAGGCGCAGTGTGGGAGAATGAGGGGAAGGCAGTTCTGCCAGGATTGAAATACAGCAGTCCCCCGATTCGAGGTTTCAGTTACCTGCAGTCCACTGCGGTTGGAAAATATTAAATGGAAAATTCCATTCCAAAAATAAGCAATTCATAAGTTTTAAATGGCACTCCGTTCTGAGTAGCGTGACGAAATCTTACGCGTTCCTGCTCCCTGTCCGCCTGGGATGTGAATCATCCCTTTGTCCAGCGTGTCCACACCACATACAGTCCTTGCCTGTTAAGTCATCGGCATCATTTCCTCCTGATGTCCGACCACGAACATTGACATGGCTCAGTGACCCAGAGTCACCTGAAGCAGATGACCCTCCTTCTGCCGTATAGTCAGAAGGTCAAAAGTAGCCCATCACGATGTCCATGTCATCCACCTCACTCCATGGCATCGTGTGGGCATTTTATCAGCTCGCATCATCACAAGAAGGGTATGTTCAGTACAATAAGATATTTTAAGAGAGAGACCATGGTCACATAACTTTTAGTATAGTATATTGTTATAATTGTTCTATTTTCTTATTAGTTATTGTTGTTAATCTCTTACTGTAGACTAAAGTATAAATTAAAATTTATCACAGGGGTCCTCAAACTTTTTAAACAGGGGGCCCAGTTCACTGTCCTTCAGACCGTTGGAGAGTGCGCACTGTGGGCCCAGGACGAGTTAGGTGCTAAGCAGGACAGGCAGCGGCGGCAAAAACACCTGGAGGGCCGGATAAATGTCCTTGGCGGGCGGCATGTGGCCTGTGGGCCGTAGTCTGAGGACGCCTGCTTTGTCATATAGGTAAATATGTGTAAGAAAAGACATAGTATATATAGGGTTCAGTACTATCCACAGTTTCAGACATCTTCTGTGGATCTTGGAACACATCCCCCATAGATAAGGGAGAACTACTGCATACTGGAATATACCCTGCCCTGAGCAAAGCCTTCCTGACTGTAGCAACTGCAGGTGACCCAGGCTGCCTGCCAGCTCCTTACGCAAGTGACAGAGGAGGCTATGGGGTCAATTCACCTGCCTGCTGAAAAAAGAACTCGTTTATTCATTCAAAAAAGACTATTTGTCAGGCTTCTACTGTGCTCCAGCAGTAGAGAAAACAAAGATCCCTGTCCTCAGGGAGCTTAATATTTGCGCAGGCGGGCAGAGTCAGCAAATTAATAAATAAAATATATAACTTATCAGATGACGACAAATGGAGAAAAATAAAGGGGACTCCTTTTTAAGGGAGAGTTCCCTTGGTGAAACAGATCCACAACACCTGCAGAAGAAATTATTCTAGTTTATACAAACCAAGCTCATTCTCCATTCAAAACTATGAACGGTCAGCCAACAGTTGCCAGACATATTAGGAAAATCGACATTATGAAAGAGAAAAGTCAGGTTGACCAAACAGGACAATATCATAGAAGGAACAGAAATAAATGTAAAAATTCTAATTATGTATTATTCTCCACACCTCCCTTAAGAAAAACAAAAGGTCAGGGGAGAGGAAGAGAGAGAGGGGAAGAGAGAGAGAAACAGATATTACATCCATAAAATAAATACTGGCTATTTTTTTAAAAAGAGGAATAAGAAAGCATTTTGAAAATTGTAAAAACTATGTTGAAATAAAAAAAAGTAACAGGGCAGGGCACAGTGGCTCATGCTTGTAATCCTAGCACTCTGGGGGGCTGAATCGGGAGGATTACTTGAGGCCAGGAGTTTGAGACAAGCCTGACCAAGAGTGAGACCCTGTCTCTACCAAAAACAGAAAAAATTAGCCAGGCGTGGTGGCACATGCATGCCTCTAGTCCCAGCTACTCAGGAGGCTGAGGCAGGAAGATCGCTTGAGCCCAGGAGTTTGAGGTTGCCGTAAGCTAGGCTGACCCCCTGCACTCCAGCCTGGGTAACAGAGTTAAACCCTGTCTCAAAAAAAAAAAAAAAAAAGGTAATGGACATGAAGAACAAGTTGGTGACCTAGAAGATAATGAAGATAATGCTGGAGATATTTCCAAGGATGTAGAGTAAAAAGACAAACAGATAGAAAACATGATAAAAATGTTAAAGAGATATGGAGGAAAGATGCAGAGATTCAACATTCCTCTAAGAGGACTTCCAGAAGGACGGAAAAAAAAAAAAAAAGACAACAGGTTGAAATTATCAAATAATTAATAGGGAAAGACTTCCCAGAGCTGAAGAAAGCCATGAGTCTTTATCCGAAAGAAACCACTTCTCGGAATGAATAGAAAAGACTCATAAATGAACACACAAGTGAAATTTCCAAATTCCAAGGGAAAAGAGAGAGCAAGCACTAAAAATTCCTAGCAAGGAAAAGTAAGTTACCTACAACAAGAACCAGACCAGTATTAGTCACTAGACTGTAAGGCCCATGAGAACAGAGATTTATATTTAGTGATATAATTGTAAATGCTGCTAATAGATTTTAAATTTTTGGAAGCAATCTATATACAAAACATAGAATATATATAAGGCTCTAACGTGTGAATAAATGGAATAGCTACAATTTAGAGGAGAAGAGAAAGGAAGGATAGAAAACAGTGAGTATAGAATTGCCCTCATCTTTTATAATAGAGAATCAAAAATTAACTAGGACGATAAATCAAAAATGTAAATTTCTTTATATTAGTGGTTTTCTACTTTGGCTGCACACTAGAATGACCTGGGAGCTTTAAAAAAATACCAATGCTTAGGCCCCACCCCAGATTAATTAAATCAGAATCTCTGAGGCTGTGGCATGACCATCTGCATTTTTTAAAAGTTCTCCAGGTGAGTAATGTGCAGTCAGGATGGACAACCCTTTAATTAAAGTCATAAAGACAACAACTAGAAGAATGAAAAACAAACTGCTAATAGGAATTGCTTCTGGGGAGTAGAACAAAGAAGTTCTAAACTATTTTAATTGTTTTTATGGTAGAAAAGACAGGACGAAGGAAGAGGAGAAGGAATTCAACATGGGACTACAACCTCAGCATGGCTGACATTTAGGGTGGGAGAATTCTTTGTTGTGGGAAGTTATCCTGTGTATTGTAGGATATTTAGCAGGATCTCTGGCCTCTGAGACCCACTAGCTGCCAATAGCACTCATCCCAGTTATGACAACCAAAAATATCTTCAAACACCGCCAAAGGTCCCCTGGAGGGCAAAATTGCCCTGGTTCGAGAACCACTGGACTAGAAGAATAACCCTGCATATTGGGGTCAGGCAGTTGCTCAAACTGCAAAGAGAGCTCAAGAATTTGGACTGACATCATGACACACCATGTAAAATCACAGCGCATTTATCCAGTGCTAGGTCTTTAATTAAAATTAAACATACACATTTTAATCAGAGCACTAGAAGGATATGCATCAGGCCTTTCCTTATGGACGCTCTAAGCTTTGGGGTTTACTTTCATTATTAGAATAACAAAATGCCAGAGCAATTAGGCCTTTACAAAAAATTGCAGGACCTCCTGGAAAGTGGCCAGGATCTTGCCAATTTCTTTTAAACTCAAGAAAACACTTTTCTCATACTGAACAAAACAGGGGAGACCCAGCCAAACATAACCCTGGGCTGTTGGCCCAAGTTCACTTCAGTTCAGCAAATATTTGAGCATCTATTCCATGTGCTAGGGATAATACCGTTAGTAAAACAAAGACTGAATTTCTTAAATGTTCTATAAATAGAGCAGAAATACATTTTTACAGAAAGGTGTGCTTTCTGTACTTTACAGGATTGTTAAGGAGGGAAATGCATTTTTCTGTGCTGTCCAAATGGTAGCCATGAGAAGTACATGGCTATGGAGCCCCAGGAAAATGGCTGGTCTAAGTTGAAACGTGCTGTAAATGTAAAAACACACGCAGGATTTCAAAGACACAGTATGAAAGAAAGAATGGAAAATACCTCATTACATTTTCAAATTACATTTTGAAATGTTTTTTGAACATATTGGTTTAAATAAAACACAAACAGTCCCTGACTTACCATGGTTCTACTTGATTTTTTAAATTTACCCTGAGGCAAAGGAGATGCACATTCGGTACACTCTTCAACTTATG